TGTTCATCTTTGCAAGAGAATAAAAAATGAGAAAGGGTACAACATATCTGCAATTAGAAGTGATCATGGAGGAGAATTTGGAAATCAAAAATTCGATGCTTTTTGCAAACAATTAGGAATCTTCCATAACTTCTTAGCACCTAGAACACCTCAACAAAATGGAGTAGTGGAACGCAAGAATAGAACACTTCAAGATAGGAACACTTTTCAGAAATGGCCCAGAAAACCATGCTGAGTGATTCTAAACTACCAAAGTATTTATGAGCAGAAGTAGTAAACACTGCATGTTATATTCTAAATAGGGCTTTGGTAAGATCTAAACTGAAAAAGACTTCATATGAGCTATACAAAGGTAGAAAGTCAAATATTGGTTATTTTCACATTTTTGGGTGTAAACGTTTTATTCTAGACAACAAGAAAAATCACCTTGCTAAATTCGATGCTAAATCTTATGAAGAAATTTTTCTAGGATATTCTAGTAATAGTAAAGCATATAGGGTGTTTACTAAGAAAAATCTAGTTGTAGAAGAATTTATTAAAACTCTAGTTGTAGAAGAATCTATTCATATTGTGTTTGATGAATCTTACTCTTCTTCTAGAATTTTAGAAAATGATGATGTTGTAGATTCTAATCAAGAAAAGCATAATGAACAATCAGAACAATTAGAACAGCTAGAAAATGAGCAGAATGTTGATAATCAGGTTGAACCAGAAACAGAACATGAAGATCAAAATGCAACTGAAAGTCAAATGCTGGAAACAGAAAATGAAAATTCTCAATTACCAAAAGAATGGTGTTTCTACAGGTATCATCCACAAGAGGACATCATGGATAATCCTTCAGAAAGGATGATGACTAAAGCTCAATATAAGAGATATTTTGGTAATGTTGCTTAGAAGATGCTCAAAATGATGTCTCCAATTAGACCCTAAAAATTTTAGAAAGATGCTCAAAAATGGATCGAAGAGTTGGAATTCTGCTATGCAAGAAGAACTAACATCAATTTGAAGATACAATCCGAAGTTTGGAAAACTTGTTTCTAGATCTAAAAATCCATTCTAATTTATTGAACAATGGGTGTTTAGAAAATAAGCTTGAATGAACAAGGTAATGTTGTGAGAAAACAAAAGCAAGGTTAGTGGCTCAAAGGGTACAACCAAGGAGGAAGGCAATTGAAATTGACTGAAACTTTTGCCTCCCGGTTGCTAGACTTGAGGCCAATTAGAATGCTTTGTGCATTTGCATGTTTTAAAAAAAACTTCATGTTACATCAAATTGGGATTGTGAAGAGTGCTTTTCTAAATGGTTTTGGCTAAATGAAGAAGTATATGTAGAACAACCACTCCGTTTGAAGTTTATGATAAAACCAAAATTCAGGTTTACAAACTACTAAAGCTCTTTATTGGTTCTTGAAACAACTCTTTAGAGCTTTGGTTATGAAAAGGATTAAGTAAGTTTTTATTATGAAAATGGTTTTTTCTAAGAAAAAGAATTGATACAACACTATTATTTAAAATAAAAGCACATGGATATTCTAGTTGTACAAATCTATATTAATTGAAAATAATACTTTAGTTCTACTCCATGACCTTCTTTGTAAAGGAATTTTCTAAGATTATGCGGGTGAGTTCGAATAAGTGAAGCATCGATGGGGAGAATTAAATTTCTTGCCTTAGACTCAAATCAAACATGGGTGAAAATGGAATTTTCATAACCAAGGAAAATAGAGCTAGAGAATTGTTTGAAAAGTGGTTCAAGAATGGATAAACTGTCCAAAAGGAAGTAGTACACTAATGAGTTCCATCCCTCAAAATTAGAAAAAAAGAAAATTAGAAAAAGATGAAAAAGGTAAGGATGTGGACATCAAATTGTTTAGAAGTATGATTGGTTCTTTACTATATCTAACGGTAAGTAGACCTGACATTCACTTTGGTGTTTGTTTATGTGCTAGATTTCAATCGAGTCCTAAAGAATCTCGTTTAATTGCTGTAAAAAGAATTCTAAGATATCTTTGTGGAACTTCTAATCTGGGTCTGTGGTATTCTAAGGTGATACATTTGATCTTGTTGGGTATAGTGATTTTGATTTTGCAGGAAGCATAACAGATAGAAAAAGCACGTCGGGAACTTGTTAATTTCTGGGTAGCGCCCTTGTATCATGGTTTAGCAAGAAACTGTGAATACCCAAATTTTGAGGCTCAAAGAGCCAGTTTTTCATGACTGCAAACAGTCCGGCCAGACCTGAGGCCATTCGGAAAGTTCACCGGAAGTAAAGTTCAACCGGAAGTAATGCCAATAGGTACTTGAAACCGACCAAAAAATTAACGAGACACAGGAACTGGTCCCGGGAATATTTTTTGGAGATCCGAATCCCGAAAAAGCCTCCGGATCGAAAAATTAGCAAACCGCCGGGCCCCGGTGGCTCAGGCCCCCGATCACGGCGGCTCTGGACGCCGCCGCCGTGGCTTCGCGCATCGGACGCAAGAACGACTCAGGTCGCCGTCCCCAGGCGCCCAGGTCCGGCGGCTCCGGCCGTCGGCTCTCGGAGCAGGCGAGACCCGCCTCTCTGGCCGAATTTTGCCTATAAATATTGTCCCCGACACTGCAGTTTTACTCACTGATCTGTGTTGACGAACGCTCATTCTCCCTTACGCTCCTGCGATATCTTTACTGCTTTTCTGCATTTAGCATAGGTTTATTATTTTGTTGTTGTGATATCTTTCGGGTCATTTAACATTAAATAATTCTAAATAATATTCCCAAGAACGAGGAGCCTTAATTTGAAGTTTTTCAAGCTTAAGCTAAGAATGCGGCCGGTCCGATTAAATCTAGGTACATTAAAGCGAAATTTTTGCGCTAATTTAATTTTAAGCACTTCATCATGCTCTCTTTTACCCCTTAAATTCCTACAAGCTGCATAAATGCCATTTCAATCATTCATCATTAAGGAGCAAGTAAACTGCCTCAAATTAAATAAGTTTAGGCTAAATGCCCGGTTAATTAAATATCCGTGGTATTAAAGCCAAATCCGACAAATAATGTGGCTTAAAATACCTAGTTAATTAATAGCTATGGTATAATCGGCTCTTATCTTCGAACAGTCCCGGCTTAAGTCTCAATTAATGCAAAATAATTGTGGCTAAATTTAGCCTTACATTAAAAAAAACACGTTTTCTTGGCATTAAATTAGCCTAACATTGCAAATCAATTAAGCAATTTTGCAAACAAATTGCCTATAAGTGAGATTAATCTTTTTTTTAGCGACAAATCGCTTTAAAATCAAAATTTTGCTTAAAAAGCTTAAATAATCATTTGGCAATAAAATTGCCTAAAATCAATCAAGTTTGGCCGACAATCGCCCAATTCAACACCGTTTTGACTAATAGAATTGCTTAAATCAATATTTTGGCTTTAAAGCCTTCAAATAATCAATTTTGGCGACAAATCGCCCTAAAATCTACATCAAATTTTTTGGCACAATGTGCCTAAATCAATCCTTTTTGGTGTCGTCCTAGAGACGTAAAAAGCCTTAAATCAACATTTTTGGGCAACAAGCCCTAATCGATATCAGATCAATGTCTTTTGCAAAATGCTGTAAACGAAAATGCACGAAAGCAATACACACAACTCCATGCATAAAGCATACCATGTCATAAGCCCTTCAAAAAGGCCTAATCGACTACGTTGACGTTTGATCTTCCATTCCAAGAATGGAAGTACGTAGGCACGTTGGGATTTAACCCCGAGCGCAATCGAAATCAATAACATTTTTCCTTGGTCCTATTACATGCATTTACCCGTCAAAGCAATTCTTCACAGGTGTATTCATCAACATGACTGTCTCGGGATATCCACCTCGGGTTCGCAGATTGGTGCTTAAATCATTGGGTTAATTAATCTTGTATTGGTTAATTAAAAATTGGAGTCCACCTAGGGTTTTTCCTGTTACCCTAAAATAATTAAAATAAGGTGGCGACTCCACTACATTCAATTGTGCATTCTTGCCCTTAGTCCACAATCATTCATATGCTGACGTCGATTTTTGGTGAGGGGTTCCAGTTTGGCGACTTGCTGCTGGGGAATTATGTAGATATTTTGGCATTAAAGTGGTACTACGATTGTTTTGTCCTAAACTAAAACCCTGCCCTTTTAGGGTATTTATTTACTATTACTTTAATTTTGTAGGAGTTACCCTAGGAAAGAGTTAAGTGTTTTTCTTTTCTTTATAGAATTGCTTATAAGGAGAATGTTGACCTAATTGAATTTTTATCTTTAAATATTTAATTTTTTTATTTATTTGCAGCGAATTGAGACTCTTTTTACATTGTAAGAAAAAATGAGAATTTCAACATGAATTTTTCTTCTTCTATTCAAACTTGAGTCCTGGATAGTAAGTAAGCACTGATCGGTCAAGGTCTTCCTTGATTATGGTCGACGGACAAGCAATGCGTCCTCCCTGTTGACCGCAAACCACCCTAACTCTTTGGGGATGAGCCCCATGTGCAATGCGTACTGTTGGAACCCACGCGATAACTTCTTTGTTTCAACATTTGGATGTGGTTAGTTATATCCATGCCAGAGGTTCAAAGGGTCCTTTATAAGCCTTATGTCTCTATTTGTGTCATAGCCTATAGAACCTAACCTTTAGGACTAGTATCACCCAATGAATGTGAATCATATCATAAACAAGGGGATTATTGAACGTGATGTGTTGGCATGTCAATACAATATCCATCACATGTAAGAAGACACAAAATTACCCTTTTTGTCAGCATCAGTTGACAAAGAGCCGATCTACTTTCAGCTAACGCTGATACAAAATACTCCATGTACTCTAATCTCAGCTACTGTTTATCCTATTCAGGTACGCTGTTCGAGTGCCGTATCCAAGTTCCAAGTCACACCTAAACAGGTGCTATCAAACCAACCTCACAGGTTCACCAAAACTTCACCAACTCCAGCTACACCAATGGCATGACCACTGCAAACTCCAGAAACCGTCATTGAACAATGAGGCCAGGATGGAGGCCAAATGAATGAGGCATTGGCTGCTCAAAGGACTCTCCCTGAAAGCGAGACTGGGTAATGTGAATGGAAATGGGGCTTCGGCCGGGGGAAGTGGAGCCGCTACCTCCAACAGGGTCCTGTTGCTGAACCAACAACTCTACCTTAAGCCTAGATGAAACATGCCTCCAGAACTCTTCTGGAACTGGAAGCTCAAGAAAATGAGAGAGAAAACTAGAAATTGCTTGGACAAGGTCCCTATTACTGCCCTTAAGCCCCAGACACAAGAACTAGTAAGACATGGACTTCCTTTGTCCTTGTTCCCT